GTATGTAGTTCCTAGTTCCTCCTGTTGGTGTGTGTGTGAGACACCTGCAGTCCCACTGACCATGAGGGGTCAGCAGCGTTTCACTGAGTGTCACAGGAGCTGCCTCAGGTCCATTGTTAAGAATAAGAGCTCAAGGTAAAGATCAAGGTTGTGTGTGAGATATAGAGGGCGCTATAGTCACATAGGGCATATTCAGCCAGACTCACTACACAGTGGATAATGGGGCAACTCAATATGACAGCTGCCTCCTAAATTACAATATACAGTACATAGCAGGGTGCAGGGAGCAGGGGCAACTGGGCAGTTCTTATCAGACATAAATCCACCCTGACAACATAATCAGCATTGGTGTCTTTTGAAAAGACAGAATCTCCCTCTCAAGTGACACCACAGTGACCAAATATGTCTGATGACTTCATGTCCAGAAATGCAGCGAAAAACATTTAGAAAGATGAAAACACAGACGCATACCCCAAAACAAATTAGCTCACAGCGGCATGAGTGAATGAATGATGCCACTGTTGTTGTTGGATGGGAGCGCCATAATTATTGCAACAGCACTGTATCCAAATGTCCTGGATCATCAGCACAAAATATTTTTTTTGTTTTATTTTTGATTCATGTTTTGCAGAGATAACTTTCTCATTTTTTAATAAGAGCATCTCCTGGCACGGTTTTAAAGGCTTTTTTGCTCATAATTGAGGAACATGATAAGGTCCATATCTTGCTCATTATGGAAGCTTTAGGCAAATAAAGAGAAACACTTTATAGCCTTAAACTCCCACACCCCACATGTTCAAATATACTGCAGCCTCTAATTCAAATGTTCCACGGTTGAAATAACTTGAAAGGCTCAGATGACGCACACCGATCTGTGAAATCTTCTCCAAATGTCTTCTTTATGAAAGTTGGGATCAGAGGAATTCATTAAAGATCTGTGGGTGGCATAGGCAATATACGAAACTGACGCTTTCCAGCGGCAAGACTCTGCCAAACTGAACACTTTCCAAATTCCCAAAACTGCAACACTGACTGGAACACACCCACAGTCACTAATTACTTGACCCTATTCCCGCAGAACCTTTTTGTCTCTGGAGTTGGGCGGATTTATTTCATGAACATGATTAATGGACAAATCTCTAAGTGGAGAGGAAGACTTGTTTCATTACATTAATGCAGAGGACTTCCTTGAGACAAAGCCTCTCCATTATGTCGTGCCCTCAGACCTCAGACCTTGCATCATCTGCTTCAGTAGCCCTCCCCTCAAGGCAAGTGTGTTGTGTTTGTGTGTGTGTGTGTGTGTGTGTGTGCATGCACGTGTGTGTGTGTGTCTGTATATCATACTGGCAGCCGTTGATGTAACTGATGCATATTATGCGTTGTGAATAAGGCCAGTCTTTTTATGAGTCTTGTTATTGTCATTGATATAATGTGAGCCCTGAGCCCTACTGTAGGTGCCACATGCATTGTCCACTGGTTGAGGATGATTGATATGAAAGAACAGTGATGAGTGATGAGGCTCAGATGTTCTTAACCAATGAGCATCAGGTCAGGAAGATGCACTGTCTGTGCTTTTGTCTTTTCCAAATATAACTAACCTGTGCTTTCATCAACACAATGACACGCCTGACTTTTCTTTTTGTTGTTGTTGCCAGAACTGAAATTTTACAGAACAGCAGAATGGTAAACAAAATTAGGTAGGTAAAATTAGGTAACAATTAGTTGAATAAAATACTGTGTGACTGTTATCTAAATCACATGGGTAAACTATGACTCTCCTTTAAGATTCTCCTGAGATTGAATTACAATGAGGTAACTCTGTGGAATAGCATTTATAACGTCAATTTCAATATCGACACAAAAATATACACTCAATCCAGGAGATTTATTCTCAGTTCTTAATAATCTGTTCCATAACAAGCCCACTCATACGTGGAAGGTCAGTGTCTTTATCCTACCAAAAAATGATTAGACCTAGAACTCCCTTAAAAAAAAAAAACGATGGAGTTATTAATCCAACAAGCTCTCTCATGATATAACAAGTCAGAAAGTGTTTTTGTTTGTAGGTTGTTGCAGATTTTAAAACAGTCCATTTTAACGTGTGTGCTTAATATGTTCGATGGTGTAGGGTTTTTTTTGGAGTTGTTTTTGAGCAGCACAGTATATGTAAAAAAAAAAGAAAGAGCAGAATAGCAACAGTTTTTACCATAATCAGAGGGTTCATCCTCTGGAGACATTAGCATAGCTAAAAGTGCTGAAGGCCCCTTGCCATTTTCGTCAATGTACTTTTGTGGTGAACATCACAATCAAATGTGCAATTAGTTTAATCACAGCAAGTAGTTGTCACATAATTATTCTTGGAGGTGTTGAAAACAAAGAACATAATATTCAGACCTGGTACGTTGAGTCGTAAAAGGGACACTGGCTGATTTTGAAATAACTTGTTCGTATTTAATACACTGTTGACAAGATCAGACACACTGAGGTCAGGAGGGCCAGAGTCCCACAGCAGAACCTCTCCCACCTAAGATAACGTCATGTCTGCTAGTTTCTTACACCAAACCTTTTAAAATGTCAGAACAATTTACACTTAATTAATTGATTTAAACGTTCCACTGTGTTTATTGTAAAACGTATCTCTCTGCAGCTTGGTCCAAAGCTTTCTAAACGCAGTTATGTAGTTTGGATGGAGATCAGGCTGCTGTATTTATTTTAACCTATTTTATTGAATCTATCAGAATCAGTGTTAAAAGCCCCAACATGTGAAAGAGTTGAATTTAAAGGGCTGGTTCACCGAAAAATGCAAATTCACTCATTATCTACTCTCCACTTTGCCGATGGAGGGGTGGGTGAAGTGTTTGAGTCCACAAAACAATTTTTGAGTCTCAGGGGTAAACAGCCGAATCGAATACAGTTGAAGTAATTGTTCGATTCTTTAAACAGAAAAAAACAGAAAATGCGTCCATACTGCTCCTGCAGTTGTCATCAAAGTGTCCGTGAGCCCCAATAATTCATATTTGACTTGAAACGGTATCGTTTACATCATGATTTTAGTCTTAATGTCTGCTGACATCCTCCCCCTAGTTACTGCAGCAGTAACTCCTATTGGATGACACCACAGGAGCAGTATGGAGGTATTTCACAATTGTTTTCCAGTTTATTTAGGTTTGACATAGTGGTGAGTAGATAATGAGTGAACTTTCATTTTTGGGTGAACTACCCCTTTAAACCTCTCACGTCATAAATATCATGTAATAAATCTATAAATAAATATTACGTAGGACATGACCTCAGTTGTAGCTGTGGCCCCGGTCTGTAAAAGCAGGTGTTACTAACAACATTAACCATGGCTCCGTTCTATTTAACTGTCCCAGTAACTCATGACAGTCTGAGCATGAACGTTACCTGGAGCCTGACGCTGAAGCAGCGAAATGGAATTCAGCCATTTGTTATTACCACCTGGGCTTTTCTTACTGTGACTTGTCAAACTGTCGGCTGTGAAAGAGGCCTGTGACCAATGAATCAGTGGGGCAACATGTGCAGGCAGAAATATTTGATTAGAGATGTTAAATTTGAAGACACTGATGTCTCAAACATATTCTTGAAGATCAGTCTAACTTTTAATTGAATCCAGTCGGCATTGATCTGGGTGAAAAGTTTATAGATTTTTTTCACAGCGAGATATAAATGATAATATATCCTATATAAATATATCTAAATTATCAGCAGCATTGAATGATATCTCCTCATGAAACAGGTGCTAACTACATGCTGAGATTATCTAGCACACGTGACGTCTAAAATCCATCTCCATCCAACTAAAGGCCTCTTTTGACCTACAAATGGTCAAATCGATACTTGTACTTTTTCCAGTTGATCAAAGTATAAACATCTGACTCACACTCATATATATACGGTTAAATTTTGGGGTGAATGTCTTTCGGAGAAAATGACAGGAAAAGACAATATTGTGATTTTATTGCTTCTGTAGGTGTTTGATGATGGATCACAGACTTTCCTGATTCTGCATCTGATTTATTTACTTCTCCTCCTCATGTTAAATGAAAAATGATCAGTGTTTTTGTCTTCTTTAAAAACCTGCGTGGCATTTGTCACGGTGGAGCATGTTCTCCTGCCTGGTTGTTCCAGGATTCAGAAATTCAAAAGAACGAAGAATGATTTTTACTCAGAATGGGATTTACACCTTTTCACCATGTAATGACTGAATCAGTGTCACAATGCCTTTTGGTTTGCAGGAGCACATGAATAAATTATACACGTCCAGCACTTGGCGCCTTTCATTCCTCACACAGTGGCTAAAAGAAACCCTTTGATAGGAACAAGGAGGCTCCTCCATGTAATTACATTTGATCATGTTTGCATATGTCACTCCCACAGTCTCTGTCACGCTCCCTGATTTTGGATGCTCCTGGGTACCGCTCCCTAATCCACAAGTTCATGTTTCATCCTCATCCTCCTTTCTTTCTTTCCTGTGGAGGGATGAATCGGAGGAGCAGTATCAGACATCCTGTCTGGTTTATCTGCAGGAGAGAGATAAGTGTGGATTCCGCCTCTTTCAGGCGACGCACATTAACCATGCCTCGGAGGGAGCGCTGGATGTGGGGAAGTGTTGGGGGGGTAGAGGAGGCATCTGTCGGCTGGGAGCGCACAGCTTTCACTCACTTCGAAAACTGTGAAAATGTCTCCTTCACACCCTCGGCAGCTCGGCCGAGCTCCGGCGCTGCGGTAGTGCTGATAGAATGCCCGCGTGCCACAGCATAGTAGGAAGTGAGACGTGCAATGTTATCCAGAGGTGTTGGACTGACAAGTCTGCAACGTGTAAACTTGTGTCCTACAGTGACTCCTGACCCTGACCCTGTTAGAAAAGTCTGGAGGAGAAACCACACAAGTTTGTGCTGGAAAGCAACGTGACATGAAAAAGGACAGAACTGCAATTTATGCAACAAAAGAAACTATTTATTTGGGATACGCATTGCCAGTACAAATTAAGAGACCATAAAACCTACACCTTTCCGCAATTTTTCTCCACAGAAACAAGGTTTTGAGTTGGAATGAAAAAGACAATAGTTTTCCATTTCGTTTCTTTTTACATACGCAGAGATCTTAAAAGTTAAAACCTGTCAAGAAAAAGGCTCCATGATTTCACTCTGAAATCCTTATAAAAAAGAAGTTAACATTCAAAACACTGCAGTACGTTATTTTATTGAAGAACAAAAAGACATGCAACAAATAAAACATTTCATGTTTTACAAATTGTTCATTTTTCTTTTCATGTCTCTTTTCCTTTTATATTCAAAAACTAAAAAGCATCATTACATGAAGCTTCGATAATATTTGACAGGCAATGTGAAAAGCAGAGTTAAGCCTTTTCTTTCTGAGGGGGTGCAAAAACAACCCTTGTGTTTGCCTTGCATGGCCGCTGCTGTCAATTCACTCCAATGACTTGAGAAGACACGACTGAGGCAGGGTCTGTGCATCACTTGGATGGTGCTCGGCCCCTCGACTGTAATACTGAGCAGGTGAGCTGAGGAGGAGCCGCTCTGAATGATCCCAATGAGTCTGTTTGGTGTGATCACGCTGTGGTCGACTTCCACACTCTGGCTCCGAAAACATCCTTGATTTCATACACGTGTAATAAATACAAACACACTGACAACTGCTAAAAATAAAAACAAACTCCTGTGGTTTCCGGGCTGTTTTGAGACGGGTTGGGCTCTCGGGACTGAATCTTGTTTTGTGTGAGGGTTCAGCTGAGCTAAAAACAGTGCCAGAGGGCGATGTTAACACTAACTTTTCACGTCACCTTCATTTGGACAGCAGCTATCTTGGAGACGGGCAAAATGGCTACTGTCCAAATTGAAAGATGTAAGAAAAAAAGAAGAGCAAAGGTGCATATCTACATACTGTATATAGAGCATTCTTGACCTAATTCACAAACAATGGTAGCAGAAAAAAAGAAACATAGTCCTGTAGCAAAGCAACAAAGTAATATGAAAACAAGAACATGATGAGTTATTCACAAAATGGAGACATAAAAATATATCCAAACATCATCTGGATTTGTGTGCCATCAGGGTATTTTTCCATTTCATTTATATAAACACTAATGTATTCCAACTGCATTTTTTTGGCTTTGAGTACGAGAGCATTATGAGCTGCTCACTTGTACCTTAGATAATAAAATCCTATGAAAAGAGGAAAAAGAAAATGTCGATAAAGCTGATCCCAATGTAAGAGGATACAAATTCTGCCTTTTTTTTTTTGGTATCAAAGTGTGTAAATGCTGATATCTCATGAGGACTATTGTATTCATGAATACATGTTAGACCACATACTATACTGTACATACAACAAAAGTCACACATCTAACTTCACATTTTGGATTGGTTGGTGTTGATGAATGTTATTTTTAAACAAATCAAGACGTGTCATTTTATATCAAACGTTCTCTCTCGTGCTCTCAAAGGACGGCTGACCTCACGTTGTTCATGAGCACAGTATATTTCTGACTTCTTTCTAATATGTGATGAGGGACTTAGAGTTTCTTATTGTTTGTATATGACGTATATTTTGTTGAAAAAATTATTACCCTGAAGAGAAAAATGTATTTGAGCAAAAAAAAAAAAATCAATCCTGTGTTCCAATGTCCTGTCACGTCTCTCAGGATTGAGAGACAAACGTTTTTGTGCCATAAATGAAAAATGTTGTGTTAAGTGAGACGTGCAACAATGATCAATTACATGACACCTTAAAATCAGAATTACAGTTTTTTAGTTTTGGGTTTGGTTACCAGCAGTATTTGGCTACACTGATGCACACTGACTGATAATCTTCTGTATCTACTCTCTGCTGCTTCCATATATAACTACTACTTCTATCCGCTGTTTCTTCTTTGACATGTACATGTTCAATCCCTTGGTGTTATTGTGCTTTAATACATATTGGCGTGCCATAATTGCTGCTAATGCTGTCATCGATTTTAGTGTTTCAGGTCAATTTTTCTTTGTTGACGCAGTCGACGTGTGTGACAGAGCAACAACTCAGTTGGTTAATCGGTTGTGTAAAAACTGCGACTGCTTTCTGTTCGTACTGCATGTGAGCAGAAAACCTTCTGCTCCGGCAGTGAAATATAAAAAGCCTCATATGACAGTCTGCTGTAGAAGCTCTGAAAACAAACTCTATAGACTGAGGCTGCCTAATATTAACTGGACTAAGATATTAATGCCTCACAAAGTGTGGCATGAAAAATGTATGGTCATGAGATAAAAAACATATCAAAATTCACCTCCAGGGTTGAACTTTGGCACTGTAGATAAACTAAAACAAATCTGTGGGTACAAATAAAGACAGAGGTGTAATGACAGGGCATGGTGTGGTGTACAGTACGATTCTAATCGTTATGAAAATTTGTAAAAACCGAAATGTCGTTTGCCTGTTATTTTTCGAATAGAGGTAGTGTGAAAGATTTACACAATGTGGGGCAAATATGCTGCTAACTGTGCCTAATATGTGAATATATAATGTAAGAGAAATACAATGAGGCAACATGGACATCAAGTGGAAACTGTACAAACTGCGAGTGTGGATGCGAGTCCTCTACGCAGGCTGCTGACAGTGCGGCTGTGGTCCAAACGGGGGAATAGTGAAACGTTTTTGTCCGTAACGGTGGAAAAAAAATACTCGTCCCAGACCCTAGAATGTGTCCTGCAGTGTGACTACATACAGCACATCACGATCAATCCCGGCAGGGTCATGGGGTTACGTTTCAGGAGATATGGCTGAAGGGGGCAGGGTCCGGTGGTGGATGAAGGAGGGAAGCAGAGTACGGAGGAGTGAGGAGGGGGGTGGAGGATCAGTTGGAGGTGTCAGAGTGAACGCTTCCGGGTCCTTCTGTAGGTGAAGTCACTGACGAGGGGGTCGGAGCATCCTGCCAGCCACCGTTTGCCTGAGAGAAATAAATATAGAGAGAAACAGGAAGTGGGGGGGTGAGTATATTGCTCCCATATTCATTACCCAATGCAGCCGAGTCAAAGACAGTGAGGTACAATGAATTGAAGTCCTGAGGGCAAGTGTAGTGTATAGACGCAGCGTGGAATGCTGGGATGCTCGAGTTATTCACCATACAGTTACACACAGCCCTAAGCCAAATATCCTCTTGGACTAACCTAGCTCAAATAACAACTAATATATCAGAACGATTCTCACATAGAATAAATAAAATCACGTTTGCAACCAAGCAGAAATGGAGTCAGTCCGTACTCCATCACACACTTCACGCTCAAATTCATTTAATGAAGATAACACACACAAGAGAAGTACAAGATTTTGTCTGTCACTGTCATTTAAAATAACACGAATCATATGTAAATTGTTTGAAAAGACGTCACAAACAAAACAAGTCCAATCAATGTCACGTGCACTAATTACAACCCTGACAGGTGGAATTAACATACAACACGAGCTGTGGAGGGGCCGTCCCACCACCACAGACAGGCCTGTTAAAGAGCATTTAGGATATTAATAGTAAAATTAAAGGCATCAGAAAAAGTGGAAATGGTCCTCGACAGCCTTTCATTTCAAAGCCTGTTATTCGAGGCAGCAGACAGTAGAGTGTAATCACCAGTGGAGGGGTCACATTGTGCAATGTCTGACTTTGGCGATGCTGTCTATTTCAAAATCATAATTACAGCTGTAATCATGTAGTCACTACCCATTCTTTTTTCTAAAATTCACTTTTTTGAATTAAGTTTTTTTCATTTAACTTCTTCGCATCCTTCTTCACAAAGTCTATGGACGACTGAACATGGTTTCCCTGGATACAGGGTCCACATGACCCAGAATTTCTCTGCTTCAGTGCTGAGACCCAACATGTGGGGTACAGTTGACTTATGAGGCTGATTCATAAGCCTTTTTTAAGATTAAAAAAAACACACTTTTGAGTAACAACTCAATCATGTGTAACAACTTAAAAAGTCTCGCAAAATATTTCATCAAAGAAAAAACTGCAGTGCACGGTGTCGAAGAAAAGACAAGCGGAGCGATGACAAGTCCAAACTTACTTGTCTTTGCTACATAAATTGCAGGCAAACAGGCTGGAAGACAGAAATCCTACTCTTACATTATGCATTGTGGGGCTTCTTTATAGGGTATGAAAGTGAATAATACAGAATATTGTGGCAGTGTAAGATGTGGTAGAGCAAGCAGGCGTCCAAGGAGAACCGTATCTATGAGGTCAAAGGACTGAGAAAGAACAGGGCCTGAATACGTTAGCGGCCTCTCAGGGTTAGCACAGCTGGCTGTGGGATGCGCTCGGAGCAGCCAGGAAGCCTATTTGAATACACATACATGTTTTTTTATACGGGAGACATTTCATCTGATTATCATATGGCCACTGAGGCACGACGACGACAGCGGAGGAGCCCAGCCGCGGCTGTGACCGTCCTCGTCCTCTCAGCGCGGCTCGCTGTCAGGGCCATTAGTGTGGCAGGAACATGATCTGAGCAATGCGCTTGGATTGCTGTCCCAAGTCCACACTCTGCTCTCCTTGTGTCTGTCTTATCGATTTTCCCCTTTACGACACGGCTTGTCGCTGTGAATTTCCCCACTGTTTGCAGCCGCCAGCTAGTAAAGCCCCAGCCCAGCCCCTCCCCCCTGCACAACCCCCGCTTCTATACCTGAACTCTGCTGCAAAATAAGACAAGCACAAGGGGAACACACCCCTGTGGCTCATGAGGAATTGCTTCCAGTGGCGTGGGGTTTTATTTTTAGTGGGACAGCACATTGTCTCCCGGGAGGCTTTAGTGGGAGCTGCTTCCCCGGGGGACTGCTAATCACATGGTCAGGTGGTGAGATCGGGAAGTCCAACGCAGGAAGTGTCACCTGTTTGTGCTGTTTGTTCTCGACTGACCATACGTGGCTGCAGGTGCTAGGGCCAGACCTGATTATACATGACAGGCTCAGACGGTGGCTCTGCATGTGTGCGGCCAGCCCCATGCTCGTATACGCTGGACAGTGTACTGCCCATGGCGCCAGCGATACAGAACCAATCAACTAGGTGACCAGAGCAGAGCAGAGACAAGTCCCACTAAGTGGCATTCTGAGCCCCATGGCTTTGAAATAATTGGTGAGGAGAGACAGAAAAAAATCCTTACATTGATGCCCTGCGGACTGTACATCTGGTTGGCTGTGAGTCCTTCACTGTATCCGCCTGTCTGACTGATAACATGGCGAAGGGTATCCACCTGAAACATTCAGAAACAACAAACAAAGCAAGGTCAGAGTCAACACATGAGAAAAGAGAGAGGGATGACAAGACGGCAAGAGAGACAACAAGAGCACAGCTCTGCAAGTTATATGCTTGGAGAGGACACGGTCCAATCAATCAAATAAAAATAAAGAACATAACGGATAAAAAAGGTTCTGCTTTTTGCTGGTTGAGATAAAAAAAATCTACCAGGTGAACACACATGTAACAGATATTCTGCCCTTGAGACTGTGAAGGAGCTCTAAAGGGGAACAGACGAGTACAGGCCTGTATAGACCTTTAACACAACAGATATTTTCACATAGCACAGAAGGAACAGGTATAATTGATGGTGAATAATTATAAATGAATTTCTTATTGGAAACAAAAACAAACAGTAGCAATTAAGTGCTAGCATGGCCAGCAATATTTGGATAGCAAGAAATGACCAAACAGCAAAATGAAATGTATCAGTCATCAAGCAAGCGAAGCTGAAATCAAGAAAACAAGATTCTACATGCGATGTTGGCAGAAAAAGAAAGAAGGAAATGAACACTAATGAATTCTTAATTGAGGCAGTGTTACCACTGCTAGTCCCACCATATTCAGCAAATAGCATAAATTAGCTTTGCTTATATTTGTGTTTGCATTTTGTTAGCAAGTAAATCCAGATACTCATAAACACTCCTTTATAGCTGAGTATTATTATTTTTTCAATTACTATTGGTTGTGGAAGGGGCAGATTTCTTTTTTTTTTAACCTACCTTTACATTACTGTGGCATTTTAGAATGTTCAGTGATTTCTCAGAGAATAGCTCATGGATCTCAGGCATGTTTAAGGAACTGATATTTATGAATTTGCTCAATTTGTCGCAGATCCAAATAAAAATCTGCATCTATTTAAATGTGGTTTCACAAAGACACTGTTGGGCCCTGGCCGAGGTTTACACTCTTCCACGTTTCAGAATAGTTTAGAATTACAATGTAATCAGTTGCTTGGGGCTCGTCGCTTTCTGACCAGTACTTTCATGGCAGACATTTTGACACTTCACAGTAGTATGTCAGGTCGCACGTTCACTGGAACACGTGAACTGAACAGAGCAACCGTTAAAGTTAGCAGTAATGTCTGTGCTCAAAAAATCATTGACTTGATGTATTTCAATTAGTTTTCATGTAACTTTATTACATGAGTTCAATGTGAATGATCACATTTAAAGAAGATCACTCAATCAAATTGTTATTGACTTTGAGTATTTCAGTTACATATTAAATTCTTTATTACAGAAGTTAAATGTATAGGGAATGCATATATCTGCATTTGAATACATAAACTCACAGGTTTAGGCATAATTATTTGTTAAGATTATGTTATGATAACATGTCTGTCGTGAAAAAGACCAGTAACGTGAATTAGTCTCATTACTTTTTAACTTTTTTTTCTTTTACTACAGACAAGTAAACAGCCTGTTGCAAAGGTGGTGGGCCTGTCTGCTGTGCTGCTCGGGGGCCCCTACCTGTGACTGCACGTTGGCTCCCACCTGAGCCCCCTGGTACGAGTCCCCATTGAGAGACTGCACGCTCATGAACAAGTCCCCGGAGTTTGACATGTTAAAAGAGCCAGCAGAACCTGAAAGGAGAGAGGGAGCAGTCGAATCACAGAGAGACAGAGAGCAAGCAGGGGAAGCAAGTCGGCCCCTCCAGCCTGGAGGAGCACCATGCAGTTAGCTAGCAGCCAGACAGGCGCCGTTAGATCAGAGGAACGGAGCTCAGATGAAACTAATGGACACAGTAAGAGGACAGAGAAGCTGCAGCTGTTCCCCGACATGAGAGGTGTTTGTGTCGAGTATAGGTTTTTACAAGCACATACACAAATAAGCAAGTAATTTGTATATAAGTGTCATTAAGAGGTTATTAATGGATACATTTAAAACGAGGAAGAGGAAATCCAATATTATGATGAATGCACCTACTTGCTGTCTTAATCCAGATTTCATGTCTGAGTCAAGTACCAATTGTTAGTTTATTACTGGAAACAGTGGGAAGCTATTAGTCTCCTTAAATTGAAAAAAATACATGAAAATGTATTTGGCTTGTGACTGATTTGGTCACTACTTTGTTAAACAGGATATAACTTCAAGACAGCTTTAGAGATGCTAACGTTTAAAAACGTGTATACTACTATTTTACAAGTCAGACAGCAAATATGGACATTCTCAAAATACTGGATTGTAGCTTTGAAAGATGAGTCTGGAATTAGTCTATATGTTTTATTACTTTTTGATTATTCATATTTTTATATTGTATTGCACAATATACCTCCCTGTTTGTGTTACCCACTCTATTCATGTGATTCATGATGTCATTCTAGTCTCATATGAAGTTAATCAACACATTTCTCTTGAATGACTTTCCATTACATGTTCAAGAAGCAAGTTATAATGAAATCTTTAAACCAAGACTAAAAATTGTATTTCACTTTCTCTTACAATATTATTATAGCCAACCCTCAACCATACAACTACAGCTTTTCAGCTTTTAATGTGATTGTTTTCTTTTAATTTTTTATTATTGTATTCAATCATCCTTTTAACATTGGTTTTATAATGTGGTTGTTTTATTCAGAAGTTTGTATTAACTCATGATTCTGATGTGTTGGTTTTACTTTTAACTCTTTGCTATTTCATTTGCTTGCTGTATTCTTTACCCAATGAGTTCTACTCTGGTCTAGTGGAACAATTCTGCAGATTCTGTCTGACTGATATATTGATTGACTGATCTTTTAAAATGGTTACAAATACAGACTTTTTTGACAAGATGCTATTTTTAGTGATGTATAGATTCATGTTTGTTGCTCAACATTATAATAATAATTACAGTGTGTGTGTGTTCATAGTAATGACAGTACATACGTGGCTCACTGATGTCTTTTAACAGTGCTTTGGATAACCACAGAGCTGTATGAAGCTTTGGGTTCACACACAATGCTAATTAATGGAAACAATTCATCGTTGGTTTGGATTTCTTTACATTACTTGTTGACAATAAGCAAAAATATAGAATATCACCAGACTCATTCTTCAAATATCCGTGCAGTAGATCAGGGTGAGTACACAGTTAAACAGGCATACATGAAACATATTGATTAATTGAGATGCAGACAAAAGGAGAGTAAGAACATGGAGACTTGGCATGGGGCTCAGGTTGGTTAAACTCTGACACAGCTTTTATCTAGAAGGGGTGTTGTGCTACGGGCAAAAGTTGAACCTGTTCAATAACAATAATAATAATAATAGTAATGGTGCATTGAGCGGTGATAGGTTCCTGGTACAAATACTGCCTTTTTGTTATTCCTAATTATTTCATTCCTTAAAAATCACCAGCACCAGCATTTCAATACGTTCAATTGATCATCTGCAATAGCTGTTAAGTTGTAGTGATGCACAGAGAGGAGGAACATGTCTAAGAGCTGAGCAGAGCCAGGGACTTCCTGTCTCACCTGCAGAGTTTGGAGTTGAGGGTGAATTTGCTTGGCTTCCATGTGAGGATGCATTAGCCGCATTCACGGCAGTTCTCGCAGCGTACATGTTGGCTTCCTCTTGGAACTTACCAATGTTTTTCTTGTATCTGATTCTTTTATTCCCAAACCAGTTGGAAACCTGAACAGACAAACAAGAGAGCGTAGTTTAATTCACGTGAAATCTCAACATACAGAGCCTCTCAGATAACGTGTGCTAGTGTTTAGCGTGCACCGCCTTAATGGAGCACGTGACACTGCAGAGAGCCTCCGTCAGAGGTAAGAGCTACATAGACTGGTGCTGTGAATCCGCATTAGTGCCAGAATGGAATGATTGCCAATAACAGTCTCATTATGTCACTGTGACTGCAGCTATCATCAGAACTCACGCAAGCACCAATCAGTCAACATCCGCTAACACCCATTACGACTAATGGACTCCCAGATGAAGCCAGGGGGGTAATCCCAGCGCTAATGATAAACAACATTAAAATGAAAACCGAATCAATCCTGCAAAGTTTCCAATACAGAGTGGGTAAACATTCTCCTTTATTATGGCCAACAAACAGAAACGCTACAAATCATTCAGCCACTGAGCAGCTTCCACAATCAGGCCCAGACGCATCCTCAAATCATTTGGTGTAAATTAACGAAACCAATTGAGAAAAACAATCCATTTCCAAATGATGGATTCAAAACACAAACTGCTGTTTACCTTGACGTTGCCATTGCTTTCCTTATTATCAATTCTCACAGGATTGAAACAACTTGAGCGCTAGAATGCAAAGATAAAAAAAAAAAAAAAACAAGATACCAAAATATTTTCACTGTTTTGCTCGTCAGCATCACTGGCACAAATATCTCAATGTCTTTAGATATTTACTCAGTTACAGTGAGATCAAGTTGATTGTTATTGCTCTGCAAATGCCTTAAACCACTGCAGAGCAAAATTTCAGACGCTGATGGCTTTGCAAATAAATTGTAGCATTTTTTTATTTATTTCTATTAATTAAAAGCAAAACAATTACAAATGCAAAGGAACTCAGAGTTAAACAAAAAATATTTGTATAACAAAAAACAAGGAATACTTCATTTTGTTATATTTTAATTATTAAATCAACATTAATATCCATTGTTGATTTTGTGTATTTTTATTGACTCTGGATTTGTCCTGTGTGTTGTTACACAATGTGATTGGCTATATACTGCAGAGAGTAGGACTATGACAGACTATGTAGTCTTGAGCTTGCGTTACTTCAATAGAAACACTGTCACTGGTCAAAAATAGCTTAGTGTGGTTTGATTTATGAGACTACAAACTTATGACACGGAGTATTTATACTTTGAGTCCTTTGTTGTCTCAATGAAAGGTACTGCTGAAAGATTAGAGGAGCTGTCTGTACTCGTGACAGTCAGAAAATGTATTATTAGGTTACTTGCCAAGACGCTCACAGCTGCTTCTTCAGACTGAAAATCGTTCGTTCTCACAGCTCTTTGTGCAGCAGTGTTCCTACAGGTGGTGTGGGTGCGCGTGGTGTGCGTGTGTGTACCTGGGCCACTGTGATGGCGCACTTCTTTGCCAGCTCCTCTTTAGCCTCCTCGCTGGGGTAAGGGTTACTGAGGTGTGAGTAGAAATACTCGTTCAGGATCTCTGTCGCCTGCTTGTTGAAGTTTCGTCTTTTTCGTCTGCAAAGAGTGCATCAAGGGTTAAAACAGGAATTTAACCCAGTATATGTCAGACACTGCTGTCAGACAGTTGATACTACTTTTACCTCAATTTGAAAAACTCAAGCATGGCTGTGGAGGATGGGAAAAAAGCTTTTCCCTTGGTCTCTAACTCTGTAGTGCAAGTCACCAACTCCAAAAACCCCACCAGCTGAATATTTCCCCCTCCATGTTTAAACTGCCAGTTTTACACACTTCTACACTCTCAGATTGCAACCATGACGTTTGAATCATCCACTTCTGTAAACATGGCATTGCTCCATGCTTATAAATAATGTGATGTTAGTTTGATCGAAACATTTTCACTCAAAGTCAAAGCCAATCACCTAAACTAAAGCTGAAGATGTTGGTATACCAGTCTTCAAATAATGTGGTCTCACTGGTTTGGCTTTGCTTTACATGACTTCCTGTATTTGAAAGTTCAGTTTAGCTGCAGTTTTACTGTGACACACTTCGCCAGGACTCAAGAGAACAATTTGGTCCAGAACAGCTTTACATTAAACTCTGTTTATGAGAGACTAAGGCAACAAGAGCACATAGAGGCTCATAATAATTAAGTCCATATCTACTATCATAAAGTCTGCATGTAGCGTTAAATGTTTAATTGCCATGTGAGAAAACTATTCTGATGTATGGAATATTTTTTTTTATTAAGTATGAATCAAGTAAAGACTCTTTTTGATATACTAGCTATTGATCATTTTTCTGTACTGAACAAAACAAAGTATGAAGTACAGGCTTAAATTGTGTTCATGTGAACTTGATAGCAGATGATTCCAGTCCACGTGTTGTTAATGAATAATTCAATTGAATAATTAGAATGTTTTTAGCTGCATTTGGCTACAAAATAGCTAATTATCTGCTAAAAGCTTCACTGTGTACATCAGCTATATGCAAACTTTGTCTGTGGACTGGTGCTGGGTATGTTAGTGTAAAGAGGGTTTATCAGAACTTCTTCAATGAAACAGCCATGTCTGGAAATGAGGCTGCTGAGAGCTGCGAACCAGGACATTTAAGGGTTAGAAGGAGTATTGAAGTGGGTTATATACATGGTTTTGTCAAATAAATACTGATTGGAACATAACCATAAATAACTATAAAACTGAGTATCAAGTTTTTCTATTGTAGAAGACAATTGATATTAAACACAGAGTAACTATGTGTAAATACAGCTGAAACATTAGAACCTCAGTGGAAATGCATGGCATGTGTCAAATGCATGGCAGCACAGAAACAAGGCTGAATTGATCAAACATAAACATGGATACACATTTTTTAATCATATTCTTATTGCATATGAAAATGAACCCTGTGAACGCCCTCCATACAACACCTTAAAAGCAGACACATATCATATGCTGATGCCCATGAGTTGACTGGCCCTCTACCTCTCGCACCCATCAGGTCATGTCTGCATGTGCCACATCTAAACAGGGCTTTGCATAAGCTGCAGGGGAACCCTGTAAAATCTCTTTGCATGTATCCACCGGTGAGGAGATTTGTGCTAAAATATCTGTCCCGCACTCCAAAAGCCTGCTTGAGAATATGTAAATGTGCACAGCATGGGCTCCAGCAGCCAGTAGATTAATCAGCGGAGCTGAGCATGGCAGTGAAAGCTTTCCTCTTCCTCTCCCCTTCGCCTCGCTGCAGCACCACCACAGTCATTTGCAAGAGAATAGATAGGGAGCTTTGTAAGGGAGCGCATGCCTCATTTAAATGTTATGCCTCCAACTCAGACTTTGAGTGAGATTTATCCTTGGAGAAATATATGCAAATCCGAAGCACGCATCAAAAGGAACAAGCGATTACATTAAAAAAGGGAAACTGTTAGTGTTATGGAGCACGCAGCGAACTGTTATTGGCCAGTGTTGCTGGGTATGCTGGTCCAAATGGCATCGGTGAATGCAAACCAGTCCAGTGTGTGTGGTAAGTAGCTAAACAGCATGTGTTACAGCATGTTTGTCGCATGATAGGCCTCCTACATCTGCCATTCATATGGATATGAGGCAGAAAAAGAAACCCATGATGAAGTATTACCCATGTAGTTAAATTGTGGGGTTGGCATGGAGCGTGGCACGTGTGTGGTTTGAACAGAAACGTGTACACAAGGACACACACCTGGCATCGAGGAAGCGGGAGCGCAGGATCATGACAGCCTCGCAGGTGCTCTGTTTGAGCTGCATCTGGATGGAGCTGAACTTGCGATGGATGATGTTCACCATGCGCTCGATCTCTTTGGGCGAGATTGGCCGCGTGCGTGACTGCTCCCTCAACAGGTTCATCACATGAGTGGTGAACTCGTTACATGCCTGTAATGAGAACACACGCAGAGGAGGGGATCACAAAAACAACCAAGACACAAAAACACTTCCCCTGAGGTCAATAAACCTGTGAACAGGACCTTAATGAGTCAAATACACCACCAAAGAATCACACATTTGCAAACATGCAAGGTGAGTGCAATATTTCAAATTCACAGATGAAGGAAATCACAAAAAATCCAAACCCAGCTCTATGCTTAATGTAGTTCTGGGGCTCAAGCTTTCTCGCAGAGCCGAGGGGGAATATAAGCGCTGATATATTTTATATTTAACAGAAGTGGCGATGGCATTGTGTTGAGAGGAACCAATGACAGCTGTTCCCTTCTCAGACACACTTTCACAGCATAGCCACCCTGAGAGACGAGCATGCCACAACGTTTCATTCATCCCGCCTGTTCGACACCAGGAGCGAATCTGCCACGATATTACACTCCGACTCCGTGTCTCTTGCTGCCACCTCTTCTTTATTTCTTCTCCTCCTGTCGATTTCTCTCTGGATTTATCCGTGTCAGGCTTTGTCTGTGTCTGTCTATCCTCGTGTTCATCTGTCTCACTCACATTCATCCGAAAGGGATGATATTGTCATGAACGCATTGGTTATCAAGGCAATGAGAGGAAATCATTCTCCCTCTAACAGACTTTCAAGACTATACTTGGAGTACATGCAGAGACACACAACTCACTGAATGTGATGGACTATTCTGTTGTGAAAACACAAACTTAAGTGAATTCTTTCTGGCTCCTATTGACAAACCATTTTGAGTCTATACGGCTGAGTTAAGGCTGAGTGTGCAGCAGTGAAGAATAATGGATTCAAGTGATAGTCTGTGTAACAGAATGACACAGATGTGGACTTTTTATGGTGTAATTACATTCCCTAGTTGTGTGTCATTATGTTTCTTTGGCAAGTCTGGATACTTGGGTTTTCAGAGTTTTTGTATTTTACACAAGATCAGTTTACTATTTATCTTGTTTGTATTTCATTATTATTTTTTCATTCTAATATCAAACCCAGTGATCCTATTAATGGAGAGCATGGTTTACATGTTTGTTGTTTACATGTTGTCGTTCTAATCGTCTGTCTAATTATTGTGTTTTGTTATCTCAGTGTCTGAACAGTTGTATTATGACATTTGCGCCTCTAAATTAGAAAACAATGCTAGTAGTGCTGGTACAGCTAGCCAAATAATCAATTAGGTCAACTGACAAAATGATTGACCTTTAACTGTGAGTCAGTTGTCTGCTTGAACAATATTCCCTTCTGTACCATTGTATACTTAAAATCTGTGTTTTTAACAAACAATATGAGGGCTTCTGGGAAGATTTAGTTTTTTTTGTTATCTTGCGATATACCCAAATTAATTATCATTTATGGAAGAAACCTTTGTTCACAGGGGACATTTTGACTTTAGACTGGAGAAAACACATTTTTAGCACCAAACACACCCAGCGTATGTAAATTGAAACATAAATCCCAGTTGTATTATGGGAAATGTAGGCTTTAATGTCAAGATATCGCAGCCACCTCTGCAACCACTGGGTCTGTTTCTTTTGTTCATGTTGTAGTCTCCCAACTTTATGGAAAATGTGAGAGTACTTTTTGATTTCATTTGGAAAAAAAGTCTCAGATGGTGAATTTCAGATAGAATATGGTGAGACAAGAATCAGCCAACAGCCTTACAGCTTTTTCTATTGCTTTTTAGCTACAGTTGACAAGCTGAGTTTCAAAATGATATGACTGTTCTGTCTCTTGAAATGAAACTTACTCCCATACTGCAGGTGTCTGAGCGATACTGTAACGTATGTGACTGACATTCTCAAGTCTCTGTGAAGCCCTGGTAACCTTCTGTGGGAGATCCCAGACGATCACGTACAAGATTGGGAGAGCTAAAAATGCAGCATTCAGTATTCTGCATGTTCTGTTTTCACAGTCTGTCACAATCAGTGCTTCTTATGATTTAATAAAGGTAGATACAAAAAGAACTAATCAAATGTCTGTTGTTCTTATGTCCAGTCAGGTGCAGTCTTCTCACCTGTTCATACTTCTCCAGCTCTGTGTGGTAGATCTGTCTGATCTGGGTAAGCTTGGCCCTGTAGTCGGAGTGCTCCGCAGAGTTGTCCGCCCCTGCGGCTCCCGAGGCCGCCGCTGCAGCTGCCGCCGCCGCTGAGCCCCCGCCTTTCTCCGGACCAGATACGCCCTCAGCCAGCAGCATGTTGTCCAGCCGCATGAGTTGGGGATCTGGGGGCTCCTCCTCCTGGGCGCCACGGATACTGAGCACTGCAATGACAGCGAAAGGTCAGAGGTCAGTTGTAAAGGTCACACCTAGAGTGCCGCGACGCATCGTAACGACCTGTCAGCTGAGCATCCTGACACCGCTGAGTGGCAGCCACATGTCCAGCAGCTCACTGTGAGTGATGTAGTAATGAATAACACTACAACGTTTTAGTTAGTTTATTAGTTTACCTCTTGTTAAATCACTGTGTCTTTGCACGCTGGTATTTTTTTAGATTGTTTTTTTTTCGTCTCAGGCAAGAGACCATTTCCCATTTCTAGCTTTTTGACTGTGTGGATTTACTTCTTTCCTTCACCTTTGTAAACAAAATACCTGCGTTAAATTCATTCTCAGACAAAAACAAGTAATTTGGTCACATCCCCTTGGGCTTTAGGTAATTGTAATGACACTTTTCACCATTTTCTGATACATAATAAACGAAGCCATTCAATTTTAATTTGAGATGTGAATTTGCAGAATAATTGATTATGAAAATAATCATTAGCTGCAGTGACCTTCATCTGGAAAATATGAGGTATTTTTAATTTTTTATTTGCCAGGGAAACTCTCACCTCTTAGTGTTATACTGTTACACTATAATCTTTTTCCATCTTCAGTATTTTATTCTGGTTATTATGTTTGTGTGTTGCATATATGATTGATGTGAAAGACGTGAATTGACCTGATATGATCTGATGACACAATATGTCCCATATTATTTCCGTGCAAGGTTGCGTGTGGCCCGTTACAGTGTGTGAGGCATCAACAACAATAATCTGGATTAGTACCGCTACCTTCCTCTAGAGGTCTCCCTTGCCATTCTTTAGAAGATTCAAATCCCACCTTCCATTTTCTGAGGTGAAAACACTCCCAGACTCTGACTCTTCCTCCATCTGAGAACCATCCATTTCAATATAAAAGGCCTTCTCCTGTGTGGAGCGTGGTGCCTGCTAGGATCCAAATTGATCCCACAGTGGACATCGAAAGTCCATCGACGGCGGCTGGCATTACCATTACTGGGCTTCGGTCGCAGCGCTAACAGGAGATATGACTCTGTGACTTTATGCCCTGCATGTGTCGATAGCCATTTAAAACGTTACCACTCGTCATTTGTCTCGTTGTCATTGAATGAAAAGGGACAGGCGGGGAGCACTTCATTAATTCAGAGACAATGGGAGTGCTTGGTGCATTAACCCCAGACTGCTGTCCGGGTTGGTAGGCCTGGGCAGGAGGTCACTGGGATGAGAATGAGGCCTGCTGTACTAGCTGAAGAAGAGGAGGGGGCTTCCTCAGTCACCCCCTGCCTTTAAGTGGACTGGAAATGCAAATATGTCAACTGTTGGCGAGTGGAAGAGGTCAGGGGTTCAGGCCACAGGCTCAGCAGGAGGTAGATTGAGTGAGGGAGGAGTGTCGGAGGAGTCGGGCGAGGAAGGGGGGGGGGGTGTCTCTCGGGACGGCAGGACTGTACAAACATCCTGTCTCATTACCCACACTCCTTCATCATTCGTGTAAGGTATGGACGGGCTTGGAGGAGAAAATCTCGGATGGCTTCACAGCCGTCTCACCTCCTTACTGCTGCGGCTGCAACCGCGTTATGACCCGATCAAACCCGCTCCATCAGAAACTCTATACTCGACTGTCCACTTTAGTTAACGTACATCAACAGAGGCCCCCCCACATCCCCCCAGCTCCTGAACACTCACCAGTATGGACGCACAGCTTTTTTTTTTCTATAGTTACCACCTCATAAATACCAGACTAAAGTGGGTGTTAAAATGAGAGCACACCACAATATCCCATGGAGAAAAATGAGCTGCACTTTCTGGAAGTAATTTCCAGCCGGATAACAACTCGTAGCAAAACATACTGAAGGAAGAAGAAAGAAAACGAACAATCGTGCACAATGAGAAGCTACTTTAAGTATTCCAGTGTGGATTAGAAATGAGTTAAGGGGCTCAGACGATGTTCAAATGATGATTTCTAAACTCAACCTATTGTTTTGGACATCTCATCTGATCCTCTTCCTTAAATACAAGAGAAAGGGAAAAATAATCATTCAGAAGCCACATTCAAAGAGCATCAGCCCAGAAATGTTAGGGAGGAAGCTCTTTTAAGATGTTTCTACTGAAAATCCATGGCTGGATTTCTTCTTGAACCCATAAAACGTCTAGACTGTCAAATGAAAATGGAACATAAAAATTCCCCGTGTCCACACAAACGATTCGATTCACGTCTGCCAAGTTCCAGCTTAACATTCATGAAGTGTTTTATTTTACTTGGCATGAAGGCACCTCCAACATCAGTCTTATAAGAGAGGCTGCTGCAGAGAAGGTCATTTCTTAGGAGATCTCTTGGAAGGGAAAGAAAAAAACACTAGTAGGCTGACTTTTTTTTTTTTAAATAGGAAAGGTCATTGACAAATGGAAAGCAAATGAATACATTCCACCAAGTAATAATAATAATAATAATAACTTTATTTGTATAGCACTTATCTAAACAAGTGCTTCACAAAATCAATGTCAAAAAAATTAATGAATAAAAATAAAGGTATTGAATTAGGTTCAATTCAATTTTAAGGGCCAAAAATATATAGAAAAATCCAACAGTTCCCACAATGAGCAGCACTTTGCCGACTGTGGAGAGATATAACTCCCTCATTAGAGAGAAGGAGGGGAAGATTGTGTAACCATCGTATTTAAGACTGGTCGTTATAATGAAAATAATAATCTTCAGTTGTACCTTGGTGTCATCAGGTGTTTCAGTTAAAAGCAGAACCTGAGGGTACGCATAGGATGATACTCGAAGAGAAAAGGTAAATGTGTCTTAAACTGACAATTAACACAAACTATGAGATGATCCCCAGGCCGTGCTTGTTGACACGTGTATACCCTGGCTAATAAGCCACATATCATATCCTCTCCTCGCGCGCAGCCTAGATCCCAGCTCCATTCTTGCTGCTGATCCAGCTGTCTTGGAGAGCATCTGTCAGGAGGGACCCAGGAAGGAACAATGCATTACGCCGTGTTGGCTGTGTACTGTCATCCCTCATTGACAGCACACTGTCACACTTACACAGTGTCCTCTGAGCTGGGAACAAGCGGAGGAGCTGCTCCCTATAATATCAGCTCTCCCTGCCGCTTCTTATCACACGATCTGAAGGGAACCTGCTCAGAGTGGGGTTAATGTGGATTCTGCAAGGAGGATGCGAACGGGTTCCTTTTTAATTTAAGTGACTAATCAGTATGATCCTCGATAGACAATGACAGACATGATGATTACAGTCTCCTCTCCTGCGATGGGTTGTTTCCCCACATGGAGAAACCACAGAGTGATGGCGAACGATGGAGGCAAGCAATTATTTATTCATTCCATCCAGAACCTAAAGCACATAATTAAAACCATGGAGGGATTATCTCAAACAAATAAAATTAATAAAGAAAAGAAAGGGATAATGTGCCTCCATAAAATTGGCTTTGCTCTGGGTCATAATTACACGACTCAGTGAGGGCCACTTTATTGGCTAATGGCAGCATAATTGATTCATCCTAATGTTTTTCGAGCCTTGGGTCTGCTGGGCACTCCCTGTCCAATAGTGCTGGTGAACTTACTTAGCCACCCGCAGACAAACATTGCAGGTTCAGATAAACAATTATCCGTGTATATGTGTGTGTGTGTGTGATTTAGACTCCCCTCCCCCCTCAGTGAACACACATTTTCTGTATGTCTCTAATGGATGCCATTTCCCTCTTGGAGGCGTTTCAACGATGGCTTGTTGTCAGACGATGCCTTATTCCCCGCTCTCACAAGCAATTCTCACAAGGAGGCAAGCACCAGGCTATATTGCCTCACTTTATTTTATGCATTAATATGAACAAAAACAGGGTTTGCATTGGTTTTGGCTCCTGATGAATTCACTAATAACACACAGAAAGCAGAAACCTTCATGTATCATCTACATGTGTTTACGTGATAAATGCATCTCTGCGAGGTTGGACTGGGTCAGGATGGGCGTATGCTGGTCGGCGGTTTTACTGCTCTGTGTGACAAAATGTCACAGACCAAGAAGACAAGAAAAGCAAACTGGAATGAGAGAACATGACATTTATTTAACCCCACAACATCTGGCCTTTTGCAAATCAAATCGATATTTAATATAAGCCCAGGGCAATTGGCTTTTGGAGAGGTGGATGTTTAACTGTCTGGTCGTTTATCTGGGAATATTTATTTCATCTCCACACAGCTGAGGGAAAAAAAGCTTTTGCTCTTTGAGGATAAGCTCGGAATATCATGCTCTGAAATGATTTACGTCCCTATTTGAGGGAAGCAGCTTGCCCCCGTCTTCTCCCCCCACGTTGCTTGTTTTCAGCAAGCACATGTGTAACTTTCTCTGTTCCCCATATATTAGTCATTGGAGGAGATTGGCTGGTGGCCTCAGATGAAGATGGGTGTGGGTATTAAAATATTAATTCAATGACAAGCAACAGAGATTCATTGTCATACATCAGAGTTTGTGGTGAGTCTTAATTGAACAAAGACCAGAGAGTAAACTCCTCTCTCTGAAGGGGAATAAACCGTGGCATAGCAAAAGTGGGTTGACAGCCTGGGGCTAGCATCACAACCAGCTCCTTCGGAGGAAACGTTATCACTGAGGAAGGACACAGGTCCCTTATAGTCGCTGTATCAGCTCACTATATATGACAGGAGTTCAAAAATGTGACACATATTAAAATTGACAGCAAATACCAGCAAGATCCAGGTCTAAAAATACAGTTTTGAGTCAGTGACAATATTTGGGATTGTATCAAAAGCTTGTCAGGGGATTACGATTTCTTCCAGGACACTGCTTGCATCTTCAAAATGATTCAGTTTCTTCATGGCATAACAATATCAGACTCAAAGAGTTGCAGCACACCCTGCTCTGCAGTCCAGATATCTTATCCTATCAGATTAACAGAGGCAAATGGCAGGCTGTCAAAAACCATTACCATATGTAATCCCCTTCTAG